ATGTTATTTGGGTTGTATAATTTCAAAATTTGAAGCAAAAACAGAATGGTCAGTTTTTAGCTTTGTGAATGAGACGCAAATGTCACTCTCTGACAGCAGGTGGCACAAATGGAACAGCAGGTATTTATAGGCTGCTGCCCCTTTAAGACCGAATGCACCGATCCAATATAATGATGCACAGGAGATTTCTTTCTCCACTGTTTACGTTCACTTAAGACATAACCGACTGTGTTTACGAGGATACTTGCAGAGACAATTATTTTGAGATAATTTTGTGTGTATGTGTTCATTCAGAAGCAAGTATACGCGAAAGAGGAATCAATTCTGTGTACGCGCATTGTCTGAAATGCAGCTCTCTGTGCCCGCAGAAACCAGCGCGCTAGCTCCGAATGCACGCACATGTTTTAAAACGCTTGAATGTTTAAATCGGCAAGACTTAGAAACAAGTGCAAACGATCAACTACAATCTGTTTCACCCCTACAAGTGAGTGAACAACGCGAATCAAGTTAGGAATTTTATATCACTATTCAAGATAGCCCGTCGGGCAGGGGGATGATACATTTTTGCCCGACTGGAAAACACAATAGCCCCGGAACGTCGGGCTAGCAAGCCTGACAGTTTAATATTCTAGGATAGCAAATGGCATATATTGACATCCTGCTCACTCAGGTTCTAGACCTGATTTGAAAAACATGACAAATGTTTGCGATTTGTAAAGCAGGTCCTGATATGGTGATTAGAAATGAGCCATTAAAACAGATTGCCTTCCCATCTGCATGGATTGGCCTGCTTTGGCAGACAGCTGGATCCTGAGAGAGTACACAAGACTGGATACAGTTTTATCATGAAGCAACCCTCTCTTTGCAGGGATCATTTTCTTATCTAGAAGCTAATGTTTTGCCAGAAGCTTAATTTTATTTCCATATGTAATGTTTTGTGCTGCCTATTGAAAAGTGAGTGAGTGCAACACAATTCTTGAACTTGATTACATTGCAGCCAATTTAATTTGTGAAAGTAAAATTTACTTAAAGGGGTGGTTCATTGCGATTTCACTTTTTTTAATGATAGTTAGTGCGTAATGTTGCTGTTTGAGCATAAACAATATCTGCAAAGTTGCAAAGCTGAAAGTACAATGCAAATGGAGATATCGTCTTTTAAAATTCTGGCAGTTTAATGCCTATAAAAACGGCTGGTAGGGACTACAACAAGTTACTTCCCGGGTTCATGACATCACAAACCCAGATAAACCCCGCCCCCGGGAAAAGGCAGCAAAGGGGGCGCGGCCATGCTGCGCTGCTTTAGAGAAGAGTAAGAGAAAACTAGAGGTGCACGTAAAAATCTGTTCATATATGAATTGCGATTCTGTCTTCTAACGATTGTAATGGATTCACAAGTTTCAAAATCAATGTTCTAAAGCAGTGGTTCCCAATCCTTTTCCTCGAGTCCCGCATGTGGTTGCTGTACTGTATTAAAGCTTTAATCAGGATAAAACCTTATATTAAAAGCTAACACAAGAGGTAGCATTAACAACAGCGTATCTAAAAGTATGAGACAACAAACAAAAAACATAGGCCTACCATTAAAAACCATGCTTGCACAGGTTCTGCACGATCCTCTTCAATAATATCCTCTGCTTCTCAATCGGGCTCAAAATGATAAGCATTTTAAAATGAAAACCTTTATTTGACCCTCTAACTCTATCACTTTCTATTCTATTTTAATTCTACTTTATTTTTTATTCTTTATTTTAAAAAACAACAAAAAAACAAACACTAGCTTTCTATTTTTTCTGTTCTATCTACTTGTTTTTCTTTGTTTGTGTGTATAGTATATATATATGTACACACCTTGCTACGTGTACTGCGTTAGGCTAACCGAGACTTGTCATTTGCACTTATATATTGTTGCTCTTTTGTTAGTTTTGTCTGCTTTTATTGTCCTCATTTGTAAGTCGCTTTGGATAAAAGCGTCTGCTAAATGACTAAAATGCAAAATGTAAATGTATATAAGCAATATTAACGATGCCATTGTTTATAATACAACCGGAGCAAATGCAGCTGAGGTGAGGGGCGGGACCATTAGATGCGCACTAGAGCCGGTTTAGCCAATCACAACACACTGGGCTAGCTAACCAATCAGAGCCCATCGCCTATTTCTGAGGGCGGGGCTTCATAAAAACAGGAAAAGATCAGCCCGTTTCTCAGAGAAGGGACAGAGCGGTGTGGAATAAAGGTAAACTATGTGAAAAATAATGCGTTTTTTTTTTTTTAAACAAAGCATTAACACATGTTAGACTGCACCCCATAAACACAGTCAAGCCTAGAAAAAAACCAGTGAACCACCCCTTTAATCCATTTGCATTGAGACTACATGAATTTTCCTAGGCCATAATGGATATATGGAAATCCATATCCAGACTGACACCGGTGTTATGAATCCGTGTATCATTCGATCATTCGTTTTTTGATTTAATATTGAAAGTAGAAAAATGAGAAAACGGCTCCATTTTTCGTTTTTTTTTTTTTCCAAAAAAGGAAAAACGAAAATTCAGCTTAAATGTTCATTTTTCGTTCATGTGTGGAAAAATTTAGAAGCAGCTTGAATATTCGATTTCTACACGTGGGACGTTAAATGCATCATATAGGTCACTTTGGAATAAATCACAGTAGGCCTATGTATCATGATAAAAAAAGCGACTTTACAGTCTGGAAATACTTTAGGCTATAGCAAATTATTTCTCGGACCCTCTATCACTTTAAGAACCACTGGTCTACTGGTCATGGTCTAACAACCATGACCACATCAATAAGATTTTTTTGCATTTCCAGCAAAGCCCTTCGCCTGGGATGCATTGTTTAGGCTCCATTAGTCTTCTCAATTTTCCTTTATAATTATATTTCATTCAAATTTTTACTTCAATCATGACCTCACAGGTAATAATGCTCTTTAGGCAAATCATCAAAAACAACTTCATTTGTGCCAAACGAAGGAAAAAAAAGATAAATAATGACAGAATGACACAAACACAAATTTCCGTTATGTTTTATTTAGTTTTCAGTAAATACAAAGCTGATGTTGACAACTGTAACTATGGCAACATCCGCTCCGAGACCGCAACGCGACCACCGCCTCAACTGCACAAAACGCTTCCACTACAAGAGAAAGCGGCAGTTCCACCGCTTGCCGCATCCCGTGGGAAAGGGCCTTTACTTCTCCTTCCTGATTTTGCTACTAAGAAAACCATGAAAATGACATTTTTATCACAGTCAAAGCCATTACTTTGTGCACAGAGCTTGTAAACTCTCTCTCTTTCACACACATGCAGTCAGTCCATGTCGAGTTGTTTTCCAGCTCCTCTTTTCAAGCCTCCAGTGCTCTTAATTGGATTTGCCCAGATGAAGGGTGACACAATTACACAGGCAAATTTCACAACATGTGCTCAGAGAAGCACATCAATTTCTTGCAATCAAACAAGATCTCCAGTTAAATGAAGTCTAGTTTTTGCATCTGTATTAGTTATTTTCTATGTAGAAGACAATGTCCTGTCTACATTTATGTAGCCAAACGCCCAGTTCACCTCAAGATTGTTACTGTTAGTTAATGCACTATATTAAACTAACAATTAATACAACTTTTACAGCATAATATTAATTTCTAAATATACTAATATATATTTTATATTTCAGGTTTTGTAAATTATTAACATTATGTATTAGGTTGAATGATACTGTTTGAAAGTTGGGAGACAGTAAGATTTCTTTGAAAGAAATGAATACTTTTATTCAGCAAGGACAGATTAAATTGATCAAAATTGACAGATGTTTTTACTTTTTATTTATCAAAGACTGGATAAAATGTTCCACAAAAATATTAAGCAGTACAACTATTTGTTAACATTTTTAATAAGAAATTCTTGAGCAGCAAATCAGAATGATTTCTGATGGATCATGTGACACGGAATATAAAATATATTCAAACAGTTATTTTAAATTGAAATAATATTTCACAACATTACTATTTTACTGTATTTTTGAAATAAATGCATCCTTGGCAGCATAAGAAACATCTTTCAAAAACATAAAAATCTTAACAACATTTTTGAATGGTAGTGTACATGAATTGATTATGAACAATAGCAAAATGAACATTAACCTCAATTAATAAATGCTGCAAAAAATGTGATCCGTTTGTTATCTTAAGCATTTAACTACTAAATGCAAATTGAGCCTTGTATATAAAGTGTTACTGAAAACATTATATGCAAAACCTTCTTCCACCCATGACTAAACCTCACCCACCCACATGATGATGGAAATGTGATTCAGCTGTTCTTGAGTGATAGCTGTCCAAACACAGGTCTGTCTGGCTTCATCCACCCTGTCAGGCTTTGAGACATCTAAATCCTTTGTGGTCCTCTGAAAGTAAATCTCCTCAATAAAATTTTTGTATTCGGTACAGCAGCCAGGCAGCCCAACCAACAGGAAGGACAATGTGCAGAAGACCCCCACTATTGTTGCATCTTTTTCATTGTTTCTTTAAATGTCAGACCACAGAGAACATGGCAATTTCTTGTGTGTCAGTAAGTTATGTAAAGGCGTTACATTAAGCAGCTTGAAGGACTTTTAATGCTGCAGGAAGAGCTGTGTGTATGTAAGAACTGTCCTCCTCCTCGCTGGGCTGTTTTTAGAGGCACACATGTGAGTTGGGTGAGGTCCAGAGGCTCTCAGGACAAGCATGAATTTGCAGCATTCATCATTTATGAATGATGATTACCATCGGCTAAATTTAGTGCTGTGTATGCATCCTCAATATCTCTAGGACTTTTTCAGTTGGGATACCCCAGATGGATCCGATCCCCCACAGCGCGGTTAATCTCACATGTGTAGTTGGCAAGCACGTCCTGTCAGCTGGTTCTGTGGATCCATAAACTTGATTTGGTTATGGGGAAATGGGAAAACACCAGAAGCTCCTCCCCTTATGCCCCACCCGCACTGCTTGCCCTGTTTCTGGACAGGCAGTGACCTGTGAATGGGGACGCGCTGGAGGTCTTTGCAACGTCTTATGCATTGCATGGAGGGGAACATCTTGGAAGACCCATGGCATGAATGATGGGTTCCTCTACATCTGGGTCCCCTCCCTCACCCCCGTAGGACCGGATCATGCATCCATCCGCCAGCTCGACCCCTCGGCCTGTGTGAGTAAATAAAATTAGGTGTTTCTACCTCTCTCTCCATCCACTAAGCCCAAATTCACTTGCTAGGGGTTAGTAGAGGTTAGCTCAGGATTTGGCAGGAAATGTGCCTGCTGCTATTTTTGTTTTACAGTCTGTAGAATGAGGATGTTTTGTATGTCTGCTTTCGATGACAACAGTGAAATGTGAGAGTGTGTGGCTGTGGCCACAGTAGCGTCCCTGAGACAAGATAATCTGCATTATTCAATTAAAGTGACCCGGATTAGAGACTGACACACTCATACCTGACACTAAACACACTTTCTCTCTTTTGGACATGTGTGTTTTAGATAATGTGGGATTAGAAGTATAGTTTGAGATTTGACAGTGTGACCACAAACCAGAAATACCCTACGCCCTATTCAACTGGGTGAAAGTCTCACAGGGCTTTGGTTAGTTTCTAGATGAAATAATTGGTTATATATGTAGGGTATCAGACCGAATCAGACAATGTAAGATTTGATAAAGAACAGTTGAAACACGAGGAGCCGAGTTCCACAGAAGCCCAAGACACAGGATGTTCGTAAATCAGATCCTGGCGCCACAAGCCTGAACCAACTACCAGCTTTGAGTAGCTCACAGCATTTAAACAAAAGAGCACTTATTGAAAATTCCAAGGAGATTGTCAATTTTGGGGGCAAGTAATCAAGATTAATGGTCAAAAGAGATGCACAGCGTGACCATCACATGGAAACCAGTGATAGCAATCACAAGCTCTTTGGATTGACTTCCCCCACCTCGAAGACAGAGAACAGACTGAAATTACTTATGAGAAACCTCTTAACCTCTGGTCTTCATACATTCACAGAATGGCACAGAAACTGCCTTTCCATGCACCAAAATGAACTAAAAGGACTTGTGAGCAACTAATCATTTCTATGCATAACTCCATATTATGTATGTAACCCACGTGTGTGTCTATCAGGTCTTAATCATTTATTATGTATGTATTTTGAGGAACTATTGAATAGTTTACAGGATCATATTCATGTTTAGTATATGTGTGTTTGAATCTTCTTGCTGGAAACGTTTCTTCCAATCAATTCTTTGTCAAATGTATCATATTCTTGTTATAGCTCTTGGCTCTTCTCTCCTCTTCGCTCTTCTGCCTTTTTTTTGCCTTTTTCTAGTCACCAGTCATCACCTTTTGCGCTCTTTGAGCGTGCTCTGGCTTACACACCAGCTCCTCCAAAACCATGAGGAGAAATGCCACCTAGTCTCGTCAAACTTTAGTTAATGTCTTAAACTGCCGATCTTGTTACTGTGCTAATTAATAGGGTTTTCACTACATTTTGGATATAAATATCCATTGCAGAATTGATGATATACGGCCCGTTCAATGAATCGCTGGCCGACTCAGTGATCAGCCGTAAAACAGTGATTCTGTCCAAATTCCCTTTAAAATCTTAAATGATTCCCTTTGAGCTAAATTGACCTCTTTCCCTTACATCTAGAGCAAAATGTTGTGGTCTTAGTGTGTCTATACTGCTTATTTGGCTTTTAGTTTTAAATGAATCCAGATCTCGAGCTTGATTCCCAAGCGTGTAATCCAGTTTTCACACTGACCTCAACTGACACTCTTTCATTTCATTTATCACGGTTAGTTTCAGCTTTAATTACACTAATGTACCTTGCAACGAACATGTAAGCAACATTTGAGAAATATTGAGATTGTACTGTTTAGTTTAAGAAAGTACTTTCACATGTCTGTCAAACATAAAATAAAACATAATAAAAGCTAAAACTGATAAAAAAAAAGTAGTCTTTGAAAGAAGTAGTGTGAAATATTTTTTATGTTTTTTTAAAGAATATATTGTGAAATATTATTACAGTTTATAATAACTGTTTACTATTTTAATATATTTTAAAATGTCATTTATTCCTGTGATGGCAAAGCTGAATTTCATCAGCCATTACTCCAGTCTTCAGTCTCACATGATCCTTCAGAAATCATTCTAATATGCTGATTTTGTACTACTGACGAAACGTTTCTTATAATCAATGTTAAAGACAGTTTGTGATTGATAGAAAATTCAATAGAAATTCATAGAAATCTTTTTAACAGTGTAAAAGTATTTACTGCTGCTTTTGTGCTAGTGACACTGCAAATTTCACTGCTAAAACAGAAAATTTACATGCATTTGGTGCTTAATGGAGATGATGTATATAACTTTTTGAAAAAGAAAAGAAAGAGGTGACTTGAGAGAGAGAAAGAGAGAAGTGATGTTTTGCTCTGTGTCAGCTATGCTGTGCATATGGAGAAAATTCAGTTTATGATATCCGTAGTGAACTCTTTTGTAAACTTTGGACAGATTCTATAATGGTGTCTACTGTCTTTAAAACTATTTGGAATCCTTCATGGTTGTCTGGTTTTAATTATGAATCCAAATTAAGCATTTAAAATGAGTCTGTGAGGAGACCAGATGAGATGCTATGCAGCGATAAAGAGGAGAGTTGAATGTTTGTAGAATGACTGCAGGGTCGAGAATGAATGTCCGCCGCTTCCTGCCCCCATGTGATCTGCACTCACATTAGCACAAGTATGTGTGTGTGTGTGTGTGTGCGCACTTCTGTTGGATCCTTCTTAAGGGCTTAATGGCTGCAATATAAAGCTGTTGATGATTGTAAAGTAGATGCTGAGACCGCTTTGTATGATTTTCCCATCATATCTCTTAATTTTCTTGTCAGGTTTTAAAAATTGACCTTTAAAATATAATTTGCTTTCTTCTCTGGCAGTGAAAAGCAAATTGACGGCGTCTTCAAAAATGCTGTGCGGTTGAGGCAAGACAAAACACAAAAATAGTGAGGTAGTCACTAATCAACCTCAGTCAAATTGACTGCAAAAAAGATTGCTGTGACTGTTGGTCGGTGTTAGGCTTATGCTCAACATGGAAGAAAATAAAAAATATGTTGATTTAAAAATAGAAATACTTTTTATATAAATAAAAAATATATATTGACAGCCACATTTTATAATATCTACTCATCTGCCACAGTGATTTACAGTATTGTCTTTAAATTATCTTTATTTATTTGGGCTTTTTATTTGGGTTATGATGGGATTTATAGGAGTTTCTGTTATGTTGCAATTTCGATGGACTGTAAAAGTTAATATGAGTTATATAATATGAGTTAACATGATGTTTATGCAATCTAAATGTATGAGTTGGTTTACTCAATATTTCAATTTGATTGCAATTAACATGCTTGTGTAGTGCAAAATTAAAATGTAAAGTTCTGCTACCTTATTAGGGTTTACAGTGCAGCAGATAAATAGATTAAAAGGTTTATTGACACACTGTCACAGTGTTTTTTTCTCTCTCTGTTGTCATCAACTTCCTGTTGTCACTCTAGCCTGTTCCTTTCTGTATCTCTGTCCTCTTATTGTGTCCATTCTTAGTGTGGGATTACCAGAGATTAATGAATCATTCTGATCACACTACATCAGCAGTGAGGATTAGTCTCTGCTGTCCATTACAGTATGAATTAAGCTTTCCCTCAGTCACTGTACTTGCTCGATATGTAGATCATGAGTCTACCATTATACTAGATTAAGCAGATTACAATGTTACATACAATTAAGCATTTTCTCTTACACTCGATGATTAACATGGTGCATTTCCATTAAAATCATGGTACTTTCTTATTAATGTAGCTTCCTTATACATGTTACAGTAAAATTTATGCTTGCAGCTTGGGTTTACCAGTAGGCTGTGAATGCTATACATTGGTAGATTTCAGCATGCACACACATGCACAGACACACATATCAATGTTAGTTAAAGCTGTTAGGTCTGGCCATAAGCAGTAGTGCTGTCTGTAGATCAGTGCACATACCCGGGGCTACAGACATTAAAGCTGTTAGCTGGATGTGTGATACTGTGAACTTCACATATCGTGTCATGTACAGTAAGTCTTAGAAAATTCAGCCTCAGTTTTAATGACGTGTTGCTTTGTATTGAGAGAAACATCCACCGATGAGTTAGGTTGTGCATGTATTGGAGTAAATGCAACATGCTTTTCCCGTGCAGTCATTAGTGCTTGTTCACCCAGATCTGCATTTTTACGTTTTATTTATTATTTTTTAGTTAGTATTTAGCCATAATTTAATAAATTCATGTGAATTTAAAAAAAGGTGCCAATTCACATATACAGTGGTGTGAAAAAGTGTTGGCCCCCTTCCTGATTTCTTTTTTTTTTGCATGTTTGTCACACTTTAATGTTTCAGATCATCAAACAAATTTAAATATTAGTCAAAGATAACACAAGTAAACACAACATGCCGTTTTTAAATGAAGGTTTTTATTATTAAGGGAAAACAAAATCCAAAACTACATGGCCCTGTGTGAAGAAGTGTTTGCCCCCCTGTTAAAACTGTGGTTTATCACACCTGAGTTCAATTTCTCTAGCCACACCCAGTGGTTGCGATGCAGACCAAAAAAAAAAGCTGTGTCCTAATACCACCTCCAACCGGCAGGGAGAACCGTGCCTCCCCTCCCAGGTCTGTAGGTACTCGACTGGTCAGCGATGCCTACACGACCTGTGGAGAAACTGCCTCCGCCTTACACGCTACGGCGTGATTGCAAGTGCACCAGGCCAAGGCACTGAGGGTGGTCACGACCCGGAAGTTTGCAGAGAACTCAACATGCAAAAAAATAAGAAATCAGGAAGGGGGCCAACACATTTTCACACCACTGTACATCACTTTTTAAAAGTTGTGTGACAGTAAGGGATTTTTTTTTTCTAGCAAGGATTAATTTAACTGAACAATTGGTGACAATAAATACATTTATAATTTATTCTAAATAAATGTTGTTCTTTTAAACAATCTAATCATCAAAGAATCCTGAAAAGGAATGTATTCCACAGAAGTGTTTATAGTGTTTTCATCATTGATACTCAAGAGAAATCTTTCTTGAGCACTAAATCAGCATATTAGAATGATTTCTAAAGGATCATGTGACACTGAAGACTGGAGTAACAGTGCTGAAAATTCAGCTTTGCAATCACAGGAATAAATTACTTTTGAAAAAATATTCAAATACAAAAGTTATTTTAAATTGTAATATTTCACAACATTCATTCTTGTTGAGCATAAGAGACTAATATTAGATGTTAATTATAAAAACGGTTATTAATATTCTGGCCAATATTGATATAAATATTTCATATTATGACCAATGACTGAAAAATGGTCCCTTAAAGGGTTGCATCTTTGCCGTATAATACTCCAAACCCTTTAAGTTAGCGCTAGATGATGGCAAACGTACATGTATCTAAAAATAGACACAATTAGATATCAGTCAATAAGTATCCAATATTGACACATGCTGATAAATTCTTATTTTTACACACTTTTTAATCCCCAGAAGGGGTATCAAAATAAATGATATATTGTTGTGACAAAATCATTTGTTTCCTTTTATTTATATATTCCAACAACACTAAAACCATTTCAGCGCTGAACTACTACGCCTGTTATATATAGTATCTCCTGTTCATGTAGGTGGATGACATGAGCATGTCTGACTGTGCATAATCCATAAAAGGTATTGTTGTCATATGTAAGTGGCTACTAAATTCACATTTCATGTTCCAGGCGGCCCTTTAAGTAGATGGATAGCAGAAAGGCCCTGGACCATTTGCTGAGGGGACGCTGTATTCTTTATGGACTGTAATGTGTTATAAATGTGTCTAAATTAGTGTCTGGATTCAGACTGTCTCTAAGAGGTTGTCTTTGTTGTACCTGTCTAATATCCAGTAGGGCATATCTCTTTATGTCTCTCTCTGTTGTATAGCTCAATTTTCAATTCTTTCTTTCATCTTTACAGAGCGTACAATTGAAGTTTCTCTCTGAGAATAGTCTTCGTTTGGCTGTTCATCCTCTCACGCTGGCATTCTCTGACAGCCTCCTCTGAAATCCCCATCCCACTTGAATCTGTTGGCAGCTCTGTTTTGTTTCCTTGCTGACTTGAATAGCTGCTTCATGTTTGGAATTAAGTCTTGTGGCTTAAGACAGCAAACCAGACCCAAGGGCCATGTGACATGCTCTGAAATCCAGGCCTAGCTGACATAACGGGCTTGTCAGAGCTCTCTGCAGTCCAAAGACTCAAACATCTTTTCTTGCATGTGGAGTGCTTGACTTTTTCATAAGTGGCCTTTTTGTCCACATCATACTTCTGAAAAGAGGGCAGTCTGGATTCCTGCTGGAAAAGAGGGCTGTAATTCTTCTCTTACAGAGGGAAATCACTTGAGCTTGTTTGCTGCTGCTGTTTTCTGTTCACTAAGCTTAGAAATGTCTCGAGTTCTGCATGTAATAATTGTAATCAGGAAAACTTGGTTAGAATGAGCATTGGCTTATGTTTTGTGTGCTGTATCACTCTCCCACTCTCCAGAAACACCTAGAAAATTCACTGAACAGTATAGTGTCACTTTGATATTTTTGCACCAAAAAGTTTTTTTTTTAAATGTTTTTAAATGTCTCATGCTCACCAAGGCTGCATTTATTTGTAAAATACAGTAAAAATAATAATATTGTGAAATACTATTATAATTTCAGGTAAGTGTGGTCTATTGGAATATATTTTAAAATGTAATTTTTCAACAGCCATTTTTTATTTTAAAAAAATATTAAATTTAATATTTTTGTGGAAACTGTAATACGTAACTGTACTACTTTTTCAGGTTTCTTTTATTTATTCAAAAGTACAAAAGACCAGCATTTATTTGAATATAGTTTTTTTTTGTAACATTATAAATGTCTTTACTGTCACTTTTGATCAATTTACTTTTTTCAGCACCCTTGCTGAATAAACATATTAATTCCTTAAAAAAATATTACTGACCACAAATTTTTGAACAGTAAAATTGCACAGTGCTCTGTGCTTTTAAATTAGTCATTGCTTTACTTTTTTTTTTTTTTTTAAACTCCCGTAGATTTAGTATACTGTACACATTAACAGTGTCAACACTGAAACAGGAAGATGGCTTCAGAGTATTTGAGTTGAATTTGGATATCACAATTGATTTAATCCATTTTCTTAAAAAATTTTCTCTGAATCTGAACATAATTGAATCAAACCTGTCTGTCACAGGAAAGACCATAATCTAAGACACTTAACTTCAGCTGTTTTAACAGAATGAGTCACTGTAGATATTGTCTTATTCACAAAACTGAATAATTTCTAGATGTGCTATTTGTGCTATTTCTAGATATAATCAACAGCAGAATTGTTTCACTTTTTTCATTTGAACCCCTTAACTGTCACCCCCAATTTGTGAAAGTGCACTATCCAAACTTTAATTGTTATAATTATTATTGCAGAAGTGAAAACATTTCAAAAAATGAAAGTATAAAAAAGTTATAGAAGTTTAAATGTACTGTAAAGAAAATGTACTGTACTAATTTTTTAATATTTACAAAATAGTTTTTAATCCAAAATTGCTATAAAATTAAAAGGTTTAGATTGTAAAATACCGTAATACATTTTGTAATATAACACTTGACACTGCCCACTAAGGGGGAGGAGACCGCTAAAAGATTTTAAAGTACCATTTCCATGGTAAAGCAATGTCCGATTTCAAAATATTTTTCACAGAATTCATTTTTAAATTTTAAGCTTTCAAATGATTACAAAAATATGTGATGGGAAAAAAGACAACAACAACAAAAAAGAGCGCCATGCATCCCGCCAGCAGGATCTTATGATTCATATTATCCATTTTCCGTCATACAGCTTATAAATGCTAAATCACCCATAGATCACCTTTATAATATTGTAACATATAATTTATTTGCCAATACTTTCAGATTATTTGTATGTCTTCCCAGCAGTGCTAACAGGTATGTACTTTACTGAGGAAGTAAAGCTCATGTTTCAGGATGGGTACACCATATTTATTTTGAATAACGGGTTTTGGGGGCTTGTATACTCTTTGTGTTGACATTTACTCATACTAGGTTAACGAGGTTTTTTTATATCACTCACAGATCCCTTGCTGTAGAGAGACTAGTGGAAGAAACATCCAATGCTGCAAGACTGAGGTGAGTATGTCCTACTTCATCTACGTACTTGATAAGATCCACTTTATTATCAATGTCTTAGTGTTACAATTATTTTTGACAGGTCCTTTTAAAATACCCTTTATACCTGATTACATCAAGACATTTGTAGATGCAAAAGGGCAGCTTACCGCAAGCTGCAGCATATTAAACTCTGTAACTGTAATCTGTCTAGTTGTTCCTCCATGAGTGAAATCCCATTTGTATTCATCTGCATGTACATTGGCCGTGTCCTCAATCACTGTATGCTCCAGCAGTTTAAAGCCTGTCAATATTCATCTCATCAGTGCTCCCACTCTCCCTCAGTGCTTACCAGCCTCTTAAAGGGAAAGTTATGGCTGTTTATAGACTCCTTAGATGGTAAAACTATACTCTAATGCATCATGTATTGTAGCAATACTTTTCTATGCATTTGGATGTACAGTAGCTAGAAGAGGTTAAGTATGTGACTTAATTGTTTAGTAGCCAAACCAGGAGGCCTGTCTTTGCAGGTTATCTGGCTGGCTAAACCACTACTAGGGTAAAATAATTATTGATTTCAGCCTTATTTTTATCCAATAAGTGCCTGCAGTGTGTTTTAGTTTTAGTGTTTCACAACTAGTTTCACAACCATCGGACAATTGACAGTTTTGTAAATATATATAAACAAAAATGGAAGTGTGATCACCGACAAAAAAAAGAAAAAGGTTTTAAGCATTAAGTTATTTTCATTTTTGCTGTAGTGTGTCAGTAGGAAATATCAGTTTACATTTCCAAACATTCCTTTTGTCATTAATTATAATAATCCAGTGAGATTTCTGTATGCACAAGGAGTCTGACAACAGCCAGTGCTCCACACAGAGATCTTTCACCATCATCCAGTCCGTCTGGAGTGACATGAAAAACAGAAAAAAACTGAGACAGATTAAATCCAGAAGAACTGTGGCAACGACTCCAAGATGCTTGAAGAAACTTACCTGCAAAGCTACAGTACTGTGAAAAGTCATGTCACTCCAGACGGACTGGATGATGGGGAGATCAGATCTCTGTGTGGAGCACTGGCTGTTGTCAGACTCCTTGTGCATACAGAAATCTCACTGGATTATTATAATTAATGACAAAAGGAATGTTTGGAAATGTAAACTGATATTTAATAAAGTGGACTAATTCCGAGTATGGGTCACCATACTTGGCCACATGTCACGTCACTTTCACTTTCATATTTCCTAGTGCCACACTACAGCAGTGCTTCTCAACCCTGGTCCTGGGCGCCCCCCAACACTGCTCATTTTGTATGTCTCCCTTATCTGACACACCCATTTCAGGTCCTGGAGTTTCTTCTAATGAGCTAATGAGTTGAATCAGGTGTGTTTGATTAGGGAGACACACAAAATGTGCAGGGTTGGGGGGCGCCCAGGACCAGGGTTGAGAAACACTGCACTACAGCAAAAGATTAAAATAACTGGCTTAAATTTTTTTGTTGTTGATGGTGAAAATAGTGATATTATTATTATTATTATTATACTACTGATATTACTACTATAATACTTTTACTCAGTAATCTATCTATCTATCTGGACATTTTTCTGCAGTGTAGTTTTGTTTATGGCTTTTGAGCATAAGGGCATGTTGTGCAACCTGTCCATGTTGGCATCTGCCTAATTTGGCTTCTACCAAGTGACAGATGGATGTAAGAGCATTTTTCTTCCCTTTTAAAAGTTAAAAGTATTTATTTTGTTGTCCTACATATGAATGATCATATAGTTGCATTTTATTATTTGCATTAACAGTTTTTTTTCCAGCTTTCCATGACTCAATAATAGCACCTACTTGTTGAGAACCACTGTTGTAGACTGTAGAAAGTTTATGGGGACACACCATTCATTATTTTCTATTTCAAAGCACATCTTTCTCCCTGTGTTTAGTCAAGCGATAGTTTGCTGTTTATCTTGTCTAATAGCACACGGTTCCTGATCACCACCCACTGACTGATACAGCGCTAGAACCGTTTGGGCGCTGTTCCCTCACAGTTTGCATCAAAGCTTTGGTGTTGAATTGAAGTAAGAGGAGGCAGAACGTGGGCATGGAGCATTGCAGTCGTTCACCTCTCCTCCTCCTGTTTTCCCTCTTCACATATCCTTCACTCTGCTCTGTGCGTTCCTCCTCATCCGGAGGGACTCGCTTTAACAGCTGCATAAATGCATTCTGCTTCTACAAGGACGCCTGCTAGAGCTCAGCTCTGCCAGTGCAGGAAAAAAGTGTGTGTGTTTGTGTGTGTGTGTATGCACTAAAGTCTGCTCACTGCATACAGATGTCTTGGATTGAAATGGATATCTAGCACCTGGGAGAGCAATTCAAGCGTCTGTGAATGCAAACTCACACTCATACACTGAAAAACATGGTGTGAGTAATATTCTCTTTAGCAGGAGCTGACAGGCCTGTCTGGATGAGGTTAGAAAGTCAGCTAAATTTGCTAACCTAAACATGCTAGCCTTCCAGAGACAGAATGGGGAGAAATTGCAATGTTTAATATGACAGGCCAGCATAAGAAGTATTTAGTGTGATTTGAGCTAAAGAAGCTAAATTTATTATTTCATTTTTTACATATGAGTTTTTAAATGCATATAAGCAAACATTCATAGAACATGTGAACACCATATTGCATGAACAGGAAGATATGCAGACAGATAGAAGTCATTTTAGGGCATTTAAGACCTGTAGCATTTAACATTAGTCTCTTACTTTCCATGGTTGTGAATGTACTTGTCTGGATGAGTCAAAATCTCTATTTTTAAAGATGAGTCCTAATGAACCAAGAATTCTCTTATGGTGCCTCTCTGTTGTTATCAGATGTTGTTATCAGATGGCCATCTGCCCAGGAGGAAGTGAAGTCTGAGGATTACAATATTCTCTTTTTTAACTGTTCTGCTAGTCTGTGAACACAAATTCACATGCATCTAAATTGGCACAAAACTAATTTTATATATATAATGTGTGTCAGAGCTGGGGTATCTGTATACATTTAGAAAGTCAGCTGTGCGTTGTTTCTACTCAGGAATGTTGTGCTTGTTGTCATGTACTTTAACACACTATCATGGTGTTTACAGTGAATGTAATCAGTGTTTATAGAGAAATGCTTCCCGCACATGATTTTGCTGAGCATGTTCGATTTTGACAAGCCAAGGGTGCGTGGCTGCCTAGTGTATGTGGCATGCAGTTTCTGCTACACTGCGCTCTTGTAACATTTCATTTCAGATGCCTGTTTTTTTGGGTTTTGTTTTTTTAAGAAATTGCTTTCATTCCGAATGGATGGATTACATTGATCAAAAGTGACAGCAAATACATTTGTTACATAATATTCCTATTTCAAATAAATGCTGTTGTTTTGAACTTTCTATTCTTCAAAGAGTCCTTAAAAATATATATTAAGTATAAATAAAATGATTTCTGAAGGATCATGTGACACTGAGGACTGGAGTAATGGCTGCTTAAAATTCAGCTTTGTCATCACAGGAATAAGTTACGTTTTAAAATATAATAAAATAGTAGAGATGCACCAATTGCAATTTTCTTGGCCGATTCCGATTTCCAATTTTTTGGAAGTGTAACCTACCGATACCGATTTTTGCTGATTCTAAGAACTATAATTAACAGCATATACAAACAAAAATCGATGCAAATTTCAATGCAAAATTTTTTTTACATAATAAAAGAAATTAATAAACATTACAATTCCCCCAATCTGGACTAAGTTAGATTTTCTCTCACTGAAACAACTCTCAAAATAAAGTGCTCTGTGACTGGAAAGAGGAAGAAATAGTTAACTTAAAATGAGTTGCTGTATGTAACAAAACAGATGTCATTTCCCACTATGATTATAAATGGTCATTTTTTTCCACATAACCTTATTAAATGTGTCATCTTTCACATCAAATTCTTACATTGTTTCAATTAATTCAGTTAGAATAATAAGAAACTGTAGAGTTGTTACCATTCAAATGAAATTAGTATTAACAAACTCTATATTTTCACTGCTGAGGAAACAGAAGCTGCATCTGAAGTGGCATTAGATGCATTTACACAGACATTTTGATTAAGCTAAGGTGCCATAAATGCATTTACACTGCAAAATTTCAAATGCATAAATAATTTTATAAGATTAATGTTTTACATATTTTTTAAACAGAAATAAATGTTGAAAAAATGCAATGATACTTTTAAATATGACTAAACCACCAGTAGGTGGCGGCAAATGTCTGTTTTAATGAATGAGTCATTTATTCATTAATTCAACCGATTCATTCAAACGGCTGATTCATTCAGATATGAGGCAAGTGACTGTCCTTATGAATGGGCCACTGAATCATTGACTCACTCGATTTGTTCAAAAACGTGGATTCACGAAACACCGCTGTGTGTTGCTCGGAGACACACAATCGCGATTAATCGGTTGACAGCACTACTATTATTTTATTAATTCATTTTGGTGGAAAACCACATAGAAAGTTTTAGAAATAGAAAGTGAAATTCTCTTTTGTTGACGACAGATTTATCAACCATGGTGATTACAAACTTGATAAGATGTTTAGTGCATGTTACATTTTCTTTGAGATACTAAGTACACTTATCATGAGTGGCTCATGTGAAAAGATCACAGTGCTGTGCTTCACTCTAAAACAGGCAGCACATCAGATTACATATTTATAAAATTTCAACACAGTCGTTATGATTTGCTAATTGTGTAAAACCATACCACATTCCCAAGGCATTATTAGAATTAATAAAAACAGTTACCGGACAACAGGAGAGTAACACTCTTTCATATACTCACCAATGCTCATTTTTACTCACATTTGCCACTGGGCGATTGTTCATTTTAGGCTCTGTATATAAAAATTCAAATTCAATGACGATGCAACTTATGCAAGATCGTGTGAAAACGGGTATATGTGCATTAATATGTTTCAAAAGTATGAAATTACATCGTCATGCATTTCTTTTAA